TGAACCAAAGGCTGAGGGGCCCCCAACTGGATCAGGCCCTCTGAATAGGTGAGACAGTTGATTGGCTTGATCTGTTTGGGAGGCATCTAGGCAGTGGGACCAGGTCCTGTGCTCATTGTATGAGTTAGCTGTTTGAAACCTGGGACTTATGCAGGGACGCTTGGCTCAATCTGGGAGGAAGGGACTGGACTTGCCTGGACTGAGTCTACCAGGTTGATCTCAGTCCTCGGGGGAGGCTTTGCCCTGGAGGAGGAGGGAATGGGGGGTGGACTGGGGGGAAGAGGAGGGGGGCGGGAAGGGGGATAACAAGGGAATCTGTGGCTGTTATGTAGAACTGAATGGTATTGTAAAATAAAATAAAAGGAAAAAAAGGAAAAAAAAAGAAATTTTGTAAATTCATTAAAATGTTTTTCCTCAATACCAGCATACAATAAAATAATGTGCAATATTAAGCAAGTTAATTTAATGTGATAAATACATCTGGTTGATACTACATTGTCAGAATAAGTGATTGAAAGTTGAAATAAGAAAGTAAATGGTTTGTTGCTACGCTGTATGTCTTCATAAAAAGTACTGAATATCTTGAAACCTGATGAATATACTTTTGTGTTGTATGCTGTCTGCTAAAATATCAGTCACTCACATTACATGGTCAAAACTTTCACAGATGGTAAGTAGCACATGCCTGAAATCCCAGTGGCTGGGATGCTGCTCAAGCAGAATCTTCAATTCCAGGCAAATCTGGGCTACTTAGTGAGAATTGGCCAAAAACTAAAAATAAATAAATAAATAAATTTCCTGGTGTTCAATTATTTTGAGACTCAGATATCTATCAATGTTTTAACACTGTCTACAAGTTTTTCTCCCTTTCCAACCCCTCTTCTACCCGCCCTCCCCACTCTTTGTTTGGTCTCACCTCAAACTCAGGATCTCCTTATCTTGGTCTTCTAAATGGTAGCATTACAGGCACGATGCCCAGTTTGTCAAGTTATGCTTATGCTAAAGAATATATGGAAAATGGAAATCCCTTTGTAGAGTTAATCTATTGAGGAAATTGATTATTAACTTGAGGAAAAAGAATTGGTGATTAATTAATTTAACAAATTTGATGTTTATGTATTTTTACAATCAATGTCTTTAGTATTATTGTCTGGTTGTATCTTTTCTTTTTACAGATAAAAACAACTGATAATATGTGTGTATTCTTTTATAAAGAAGATTTGTTTTAATTACATAGCTGTTAATTAATTTATTTTTTTCTACTAAACAGTGTAATTACTTTTTTGAAGTCATTTATTTGATGTTGGTGCTCAACTTTGCTTTCCTGATTTTCTCATTTTGTCTTTCTCTCCAGATATTTGGAAATAAGTATATTTTTATAGTGTTAATATTTCTTCTTCAGAAATTTTTATTGTGTTTTGATATCACAGTTTGGGAGGAATAATTTTGAGAGGATGTCCCAAGTTTTGATGCTGCTTATCTACTGCAGTTTCTAATTTTACATTACAAAGACCAACAGCACTTGTAAGGACACAGTATTTTCTGGAGGGTTTACTAAGAAAACACTAACATTAATAACAAATTCAGTGGTTAGTTGCTTCTATATTTCTGATATTTGCTGATATTTTTAAATCTCAGGTTATTCTAAGTAAATCTAGGACTTAGAGCTATTTATTACTTGGAGGCATCATGCTAAAAGTATATATAAGCCATCACTCACAAAATCTTTGTGTCACAGTATCAAGCATGCCAAAATCATTATTTTTATTCATATGATACAGTATTTAGTAACCAATTTTTCATTTAATTTAAAATAATTGAGAAATGCTTCTCCATTTAGCCTGAGATCACCAGGTTTGCTGTCAATTACAGAATATGCAATAATAATTCTTTGCTGCTAAACACAACAGGCAAACTAGACTAGTTCCTTTACTTAAGTCAGTCATTAATGTCCCAAAATTTATAGTTTCTTGATTGTTCATGAAGATTATTGATACTTTCTGCCCTCTGTGTCATGGAGTATTTTACCTTTCATTAGTGTTCATTTGTTCTTTTCTACTCTCTTTGGCTAAAGGAAAATTAGCTGCCATATTGTTTTTTCAAATAAGCAAGTCATTTGTAGACTTGATGATATTTGCCATATCACCTTCCCTAGATTCAATTTAATCTATGATTTAAGCAAAACCATAAAGAAGAATATCCATAAAGTCCTGAGTTTGATATTTAACTTACATTTTAAGGTCTTATTACATTTTAAGTTCTTGTCACAATGTACAACTGTTCGAATATGAGTCTTATGCAGAGCCAATCAAAATAAACTGACATAAAGATGATTAAAACTTCCTAATTTGGACAACCAATTGGCTAAGCAAAATTGCAATGTTCTCTGTCATCTGGAACAGTATCTTGTTCTCTTATACACAAAATAGGATTCTACATTACGTAAATTACCTTATATTTGTACTATTAGATAGTAAATATTGATTGAGAAAATAAAATGAATTACGAGATTCATTCAAATAGTTTTTATAAGCTGTACATGAATAGTAAAAAGCCCACAGCAATAAGTTATTGGGTCACCAGTATTATAAATTTCTGAATATTTACTTCAATTTTCATTTGAAAATTTGTTGTTAAATGTATATTTAACAGTACTTAAGAATTTTCTGGAAGTAAGTAAAATGTTCTATTAGTTTTAATCTTTTAACATCTGTCAAAAACATGAGTGTAACAGAAAATTCCAGAAATGTATGTATGTTTTTGAAATGCATAAGTGATACCACAGATTGTTTAACTATAGAGGAGTCAACTAGTATTTTGAATAAAACGTTCTATTCTGTGATTTGTGATTTAACATACACAATTAAAATTAGACAATGTTCATAATCCTGATGGCATTTTACCCTTTCAGTAGAACTTTTCTCACATTACAAAAGCCTACTGAGAGCCAGAAAGTGATAGCCAATGGAGGCAGCGGAAGGCAGATAGATCTCTGGGAGTTCAAGGCCAGCCTGGTCTACTGAGTGAGTTCCAGGTCAGCCAGGGCTACACAGAGAAACTCTGTCTTGAAAATCCAAACAAACAAACAAACAAAAAAAAACAATAAAAATAAAATGAAAAAATAAAAACTCTACTGAGGTGAAAATGACTTTATGAAATTTGAAATGCAACCTAATGTATCCTTTACAGAGTGCTTTGAAACTATTTCTTTGAATCTTCATAATGATTTATTTGTGCTTTATTGATAAGTAAATAACAAGGTTATTTATCTTCAACTAAAAACACAAAGTAAGGTCTAACTCATTTCCTTTTAGGAATGACTATGCATTACAAGTAGAAAAACCAGATGACTCAAGATCTTGGTCACTGTAAAACATCTGAGGGGACAATATTTCAAGGTCATCATGCGAATAGTTCCTTAAAAAGAGAAAATACCCAGAAGAAAGGGAACCAGCAAAGGACTCACATGTTATCATTCCTTTCATTTCTACTTCTCAAAGGAAACACGTGGAATTTAACCTCAAAAAGACCATTCATGTGATCATGACTTTAAGTGTTTTGAATTAGTGATTCAAATTTGTTTAAATCTAATAGTGAAGGATAAAACATGATTGTAAATAGACTTGGTTTTCAACCAGCCTTCCTTTTCCTTTTTTCCCAAGCCAACTGGGCATTTCTAAAGTCTATCCTTACAATCATGGTAGAAATTAGGCCTAAGAATTATAAGCTTACAAAGAAAGGGAAGGAAAAATATAAGAAGAGTTATTGAATTAACAAACATACTTATATATGTTCCAACAACACATAATTTAATTTATTGTCATCTATTATCAGGTAGAAATCAGAAGAAACACTTGTAGCTTAATAAATAATTTAATTTCTTGAATTTCTATGTAACATATAAATTTATTTTTACAGGATATATAGAGAGCATACTCATAGAGAGCAACAGACTTATGAAACGACTATAAAACACAAATTATAAGTCGAGTTTAAAATTTCTCATTTTTACACTTGTATTTGTCTATTTTCCTATTGCTAGTCAAAGCAAAACCAAACATATAATTGTAAGTATTCTAAGAAAAAAGGAGCGCCCCCATCACCTACTCATGAGTTACATACATTCTAGATTGTACAAAGTCAAAAGAGGATGAGCAAAACTAAGAGAAGTACTATGTAAAATGCACTTGTACTGACTGTGAACAGATCTGAGAGTGTTTGAGTTTAAAATATGACTTGAACGCCAGCAGAGGAAAATGACTTCATCCACTTTCCAATTTGGGTTCCCTCAAACTCTGAAGATGGAAAAGTTGTAATTAAATAGCAGATTATATGAACACATGTCCACTACTTTGGTGGAAAGACTACACTGAGGATTCTTGTCAACAGGAGCATATACTGCAAGCAGTATGGACCACTGCCCATGTATCCTAACATTAAGAAGCCATCCTCCCAATTGAACTGTAACCTAAAGTACATTTGATCTCCCCAAATTTAACTTCTCATTAACTAGTAAAGATAGATCCATATTACTTTGCCACATATTCATGCACTATGTAATAAGGTCATTTCACATTAAATCTTTTTCTTAATGACACAGCATGCCTTTTGAAAGGTAACATTTAGATTATGAAGATTGAAATTTACACAACATCAATATTACATGTAGTACTCTGAAGTTCATGGGCAGTTTTTTTGAGTTTGTTGTTTGGTAGTAGAGGGAACACAGTGTAATGAATTTTTAGAGTGCTTCCTTTTGTTAGAAAGAGAAAAATTTCAGATGTATGAACACTGGAGGATGTATCATTGAGAAGTAAATGGTAGAAAAAAGAAAAGTAACTTTACTTACTTTAATGAAGGATTCAGAAGCATGAGTTTGTCATTGAACGCAGAGGCTATTAGAGGAAAATTTACTAATGAAAAGAAGGAATTTACACAAATATATTTATAAAACCCTATGCATCTTATAAATATATATATGCATATCTTATCTGTAATGAGGAGACATTTTGTGTTCTGAGCCTGTAAAAAAGACATAATTACTGAATGGAAAATTAAAGTTGATTTCCTTCTTCTTCAAGACATTTTCTATGGACTTAACCAAAGTCTGGTTATGATAAGGGCACATCAAGTTAGGATTAGAATGAACTCTCCTCCTCCTTCTTTTGTTTTATTCAAGTTAAGTAAGATTTTATGGCTCCTTCTGACAGTATTTCATTCTCTTAACATAGAGCATAGGTTTTTCCCTCTGTAACGAATCAAAAAATAACTGCAACTGTAAATCACCACCACCTCTCTTTTCAAAACTGTATGTATTGTTCCAAGGGCATATTAGAATTTGTGAAAGTAGCAAAGACTCAATCACTGAAAGTGAAGTACATAACAAATTCTGTTTTTTTTTTTGTTTTTTTGCAGAATAAAACTGGTTTCTTTTAGAAAAACACATCAAATGGTTATTTCTTCTCTTTCTCTACTGTTTGAATCCTTTTTGGTAGACAGTACAATTAAAAACAAATGGAAAAATGAATGAAATAAGTCATACTTTTCAAACTATATGATTTTGTATATCTCTTGTTTGAAATGAGTATAGAAATGAGTAAGTTATCCTAATAATAATAGATATTTCTCATTTGTTTTTGTATAAATTACATATCATTGTTTAACTTTTTTCACTGTTTCACATGTCTCTCATAAAGTTAGGCCATTTTTGATGAGGGATTTTCTCTGTTAGAAGAACAATAGTCACCCTTGAATTTTCATGAATGAAGATAAAATAACAAATAACAAGGTCTGCAAGATAACTGAGTTTATCTGAATATTATCCTATGAGACTGTCCTCTGAATCAAAACATCGGGTTTTGGTGTGCTGGAAGTCTTGAGAGTCACACACAGGAAAACAGATTTACACAATTATCAATCTCATCTGAAAGTTCAAATATGTTCATTATTTCCTTTAGTTGATTTTTATAGAGTCAAGATATCCTTGAACTCAAATGTAAGGCCTATTATTAAGAATAATTGAAATTGTTGGTTACTTTCTTTGTTCAGAATAATCAGGTGGGAAAGATCCATGATAAGTCAAGAAATAGTCTATGCTTCCATTGACAAAATTTTCTTCTTTTATTATAGAGTCACATTGTGATTTCCTTGTAATAATTGTATGCATGGTTGGAAACATTTTCCACAATAGGGAATATGAATCTTTAGTGGGATTTCTAACATATTTAATATTTCACCTCTATTCATCAACTACATTAGTAATGGGATTAATGGCCAAACAAATTTACATCAGAGACAATAAGGCATTTTCCTTTTCTGTGTATGTGTGTTCTCTTAGTTCCATTCAGCGATTTCACTTGTGTGTCTCTGATGCTTTCCTTAGAATTTCAATAAGATTTCTTCTAGGATACAAACTAAAATTAATAAAGAAGAAATTGCTGGTAATCCCAGCAGTCAAGAGGCTGAGGCAGGAGTGTTGAGAGCTTGAGGGTAGCCTAGCCTGAATCATGTCTCAAAAACAAAATAACAAATAAAAAAGAAGAAATTAAACCCAAGATTAAAAACTGCTCCTTTAAAAGGAGAGCTAGGGTACCATTCCAGAATCAGAAAACAGCTTGCATTGTACAAATAAATATTTTCCTAGAAATAGTAATTGCAATTCAAATAAATGGTATCTGAAAAGTTAATGACTATTCTAGGATAAACAAAGCATACTTAGAGTTTAGGAATTGGCTCTCAGTTAATATTTCCTCTTGTTATAAAATATTTATTAACAATGAAATATGGAAGAAACCAGCATCTACATATTTAAGAATAAATTGATAGAGTCCAAATACATATACTATGAGGAAAATAATAATTACAAAATGGTTGACTCAACAATCAGATGCCTAGCTATAGAAATATAATAAGTTCAGATCTCATCATGTCTTTGATTTATTTCGTAGAATTCATCTAAACTTAAATCAGCTGGTAGCACAACATATATAAGTCTTCTCTGCCCGTAGAAGACCAAAGGGATGGAATACAAATTAAATAATACAAGATTTGAGCACCAGAATAAAGACTAAGATGCTCAGAAGCAGCAAGTTGAGGTTACACTAAAGAACCAGATGGACTTTTGAATCTATAATGTATCATTCAGAGCTCAGGCGGTAATTGATGAAAAACAGGCAATATCAAACATCACACATGTCCAAGTCTGGAAGTCCATTCTTCCCCCCAGCTTGGCTAACACATTCACGGTTTCAAATGTGTTTTTACATCTAGAATAATCTTATTCCCCAGAACCCCAACAAACAAAAAGAGAAGGATGAAACCTAAGCACTAGGGGAAATACATGGTTTTTTATTTTATTTTGAGTTCTCATAGAACTTCTGTTACACATAGACCATGTGAACCCATGAGTTCTCTTTACTGGTTCTCATGTGGAGCTGATAGAGGAGTAGAAACTTGGGAGGAATGTTTCTAAAGCTATAGATAGCTTCCTTTGCATTTATTCCATTTGTAAATATAACAAAGCATTGGAGGAAAAAAAGTTTCTTAAGTTGTGAGAGTATCAAATATTACCCATCAATCCCTGAATCATGCTATTCAAAGTGCTTAAATCTACACTAAAAATAGAACAAAAAATGTACTCCCAATGCAGCTAAATTAACACCTATGGATGCCTAAAATATGACTGTGGTCTGATTACTTCCTCCACATTTATTCCACACACCCACCGTGCACTTAAAAACTTAAAAAAAAAAAAAAAAAAAACAACAAAGAAATAAATCAGGCCATTGCCACATTTACAATCTTCTGAGTACTGGGGAAGTTTGGAATCCAGTCCAATGACAAGTGTCCATAGTACAAAGTAAACAATGGCCTTCTCTGGTTCTGAAAATAACCCAATGTGCAAAGCTGACCTTAAAGTTTTATGTGTCCTTGTAGCTTCAGTTCTGGTTTTTGAAAACATGACACAGAACCAAGGGGAGCACAAGAATAAAGACATATTATAGAGAAGACCCAGGCAAGCTGTCAGGGAAGGAAACATTTCTTAAGCAAATAAAAATCAATGCACATCCCAAGGCTCCTTTGCAGACACTGAGACCTTTGCATTGTTACAAAATGTTTGTACTTGTCTCTTATACATTCGTAGTTCTACCTTGCCCTTCCCAATGACCTCTATTGCAATTTACACTTTTATGTCCATGTGGCCCACTCACACCTTAGCCTTGTGACCTAAAGTCTAGAATTGTTTTTTCGTTATATGGTATGGCAGGAATAAAGCAAACACAGCAGTTACTACTTGAGCCCACAAATGATGACTGAGAAGGAATTTCCTATGATGAATCACTAAAGTAAGTTCTATAAAGCTTAATTCTATTATCAGTGGTGTTTGCCACATTGATTTAAAACAAACAAACAACTAAAATCTACATAGGTAACATTTGCTCTTAACAATTCTGCCCTCTACAGAATCTTTTGTGATTGATTTAGCATCATTGTTAACATGACAAGGAATTAGCTGCTGATGTGACTGATTTCAAACGTAAAGCTAGATGGTAAGTGACAAATTCCCTAGGAGCATCAACTTTCCGTTTCTGAAAGATAGAATCATATAGTTAAAATTAAATTAATTTCTATACAATAAAATTAAGTATTTTAAGTATTTTCTGATCTAATTTAAAACTACTTTGTGTAAATAATATTTATTTTGAAAATAGTAGTTTGTGTTGTTATTCATATGTTTGACCTCCTGAGATCTTATTTAAACACCTTTATATTAATAAATGCTGCTTATGTTCATCAACTGAATGTAGCATTGAAAAGTAAATACAAGTCAGTTAACATTTAAGTACAAGGGAACCCCACAATAAGCTTCACAGATTTTTGTTTTTTTTCTGACTCTTCAGAAGATAACATTTTGTATAATACAAGGTGACAAAACATATTTGATGACACCTCCCGATCTTCCTTTTGGTTTGGAAGCCTTCAATGTAAGTTTCATTTTTACTTGCCTTGATTCACCTATCTGAGTTAACTTGCCTGGTATTTGCACATAATCTCATTTGCAGTAAAATTAATTATAGAGGGAAAAGAGGAAGTAGATTTTTCAAACAAAAACAGCCACAAACACATTCATGCCTTTCCAGGAAGTGATCAAATATAGGGCTTCATATATATATTTTTTTTGTTTTGTATTTTTGTGTGTTTTTTTTATTTGTTTGTTTTGTTTTGCTGTTTTATATATATTTCTATTTGTATTTCTATTTATATATATTTATATATATATATAAGGGTACATCAACTCATTTTTAAAAAACGGAAACAACACTCTCCCCATTTTCATGCCTTCCATCTTCATTATGTAGTGATCACTCTGTGGTGGTCACTGTTACGTGACTAGCACAACTTTGGGTCTAGAGTGTATTCTGAAGAGGAGTGAATTAAATGTTAGGACAGTTAAGAGCTACCCCTACCCTCTGCAGAGTTTTACACATCATGCTGCCATTAGAAGGGTAGAGGTGGGGGATGAGGTGGGGACAAGGAAGAGATTTCAGGGCTCTGACTGGCAGGGCCCTCCTATGAACAAATGTTCTTCTCTCTTTCTCTCTCTCTTTTGTTCCCAAACAGCAATGCAATGCTGGCGTTCAGTTGCACTGCTCCCTGAAGGCCGACGTGGCCCAGCTGGTCCTAGGAAGAACCCGAGAGAGGATCCGGTGCTCCTTGTCCCGTCAGATAGATTTGTCCAAGCACCCCAAGGAAATGTTAAAAGCAAAATAAAGTTTAAAAAGAAAATTAAAAACCCATTCTAAAACTAAATTAGTGAAGCAAAAAAAGGGTTTTCTATCTACACATCAGTCTCTTCTTTAAAAAAAATGTAAATTTACAAATCCAATGACATATAAAACAAAGTAAAAAAAATGTAATGGTAAGAGACATGGTAAAACAGGAAGACACTGATGCTACAAAGAAATTCCAAAAAATATATGTACAAGACCCTGTTTTTCCTCGTGTTCTAGAGATTGTAATGCATGTTTTTAATAGCAGGAGTCGAGGATTTAGTTCCAGGCACTGGACTGCAGATTCCTTTCAAACTCCCAGGGACGGGATGTCCTTTGCTTTTCTGTCACCAAATCACACTGGATATACTGGTCTCCCTTGGCAACAACGGCAGGATGGCACTGTTTGTGTGGGCCTCATCTGGATTCGGCTCCCTGCTCGACTTTGTCTGTGGCCGCTGCCCATTGATGAGTGTCATAGGGATGTTACAGTAGGTATGCTGATTTCCTATGGAGGTAAGTGGCAAGGTGCCCGTAGGAGGTACGTCGTACTCATAGCTTCGATAGTAGTGTTTCTGACGCATTTGTGAATGGTAGGTGTTGTGAAAGGTAGAACGGAGATCTGGATGGGCAGTGGCTAGAGCTGTGGAGGTGGCCGCAGCCATTGAAATGGCCGAGACAGTCTGCAGCTCCCCGAAAGGCCCCTGCTCACTGACATCTAAAGCCTGCTCATGTGTAATGGGTTCTATCCTCTTAAAAGGCATTTCATACTGTAAACGTTTCCAGAACTTCGAGTTCAACTTGTTGCATTTTGGTCCATGCCATTTAATAACCGTCAGGAGCTTGATGGTGTGCTTGAGGGCCTCCACCTCCTGGTAGTTCATAATTCCACGGAGTTCGCTGCATTCGATCAGTATCACTTTGATTTCTCCAGTCACAAGCATGTTTCGAAGTCTTGTTTCCAGCTCAAAGATGCTCCAGCCCCTTCGAACGACATAGTTTGGGGTCATGACAATGATCAGCCGCTTACTTTGATCTACACATCTTGCCACGTCTTCAATGTATGCTATAAAGAGAAGAAGGACCAGGATAAGTGAACCGAGAAGAGATCCAAAAGGCCCACACACTTTCACATAGTATGTAAGAATTGTTTGTTGTCAACACGTAAAGATGAAAAGAGTGGATGCGCAAGCACTTTGGATAGAGTTTTGGTCTCTGATCTAGTAATATTAGAGATATTTTTCCAGGTGGAAATTCCTCATTTGGTTTAAATAAACATTAAGGCACATAGAATATAATTCTTTATAGAATGATAAAGTATCTTCTATGGCATATTAAAAATTCAATTTCAAATAAAACATTTCTTTCTTTATTGAGAAACTAAAACAAAATTTCTTAAGACACAAAATGCTATGCAAAAATGGTGACAGACATATATACTTAAAACACATACATACACACAAATGAAATAAATAAGTGAAAATTTTAACTTACTTCCAGTTGGGATCAAATCTCTATCTGGTATAAACAACTTATATCCATAGTGCTTTTCAAGCATATCAGGTAGGATTTCAAGGGCAAAACGTTCCTCTTCCCCAGTCTCTTGATTCCATTGGTCAGGGTCCACTTTGGTATATGACAGGTAGGCATCATAATCTTTGTTGTCTGTCAAAAACATTACAAAGTAAGTTCTACAAAGTAAGTTCTAGAAAGAGAACAATAGAGTATTAGCAATATTCACTTTTATTGATAAATATTTACAAACATTCCACTCTTGAAAAATAAAAAAAGAAGCCTGTATTAATTTGTGTCTTGCATTCAGTAGTACCACCAGTTCTGCAACTAGCTAGGAGGTACAAAGGGACACATTGTGATTTTTCTTGTTGTGATGGAAATAGTAGGGAAAAAATCAATGGCAAGAGTCATGAAGGAATAAGGGACAGAGGTGGAGCTTAGTGTTGGAACTCATAAACCTCTGACATCATCAGCAGGTGCAACTACTGGCCCGACAAAATAATGGTAATGAAAAACCAATTTCCATATTTTTAGACACAAATTGTAGCGAATCATTACTGCTTATATAAAAAGCTACATGTTTAGATAATAATATGTTATTATTGGATATGCTACATATAACAACCCCACCTTTGGATATTTTTGAAGAAGAGGGCTATGGTCATTTAATTTCAATTTTGATTTTTCAAATGATTTAAAGTAGTGATGGGGGTTCCAAGAGCCTGTTCCTTATTCTGCAGTTTCAGCCACCAGCTCCAAGTCTGTCTATGGCAGACATGGAAAACAGCCAGCAGGAACTCTAATATCTGTCATAATCTTAAGTGTAGTCATTATGTTACTCTTTTCATGGTTTTCATGAGATTCTGGCTGAGATGCATCACTGATAGAATGGAAACTAAATACGAAACCCAACATCTAACCAGTCAAACAACAGATCCAACAGCGTTCTCCTTTTTATATTTACTATCATACTTATTATTTCATAAAAACACTCTTTAGTGTAAAAAGAGAGTCTATACCCTATGGAGTTAAGAAATAAAAACTAACTTAAAATATTATTAAGAAGGTTTGTTGTGCCCAGCCCCAACTAGTACATTTATAGCATAATCTGTATACCCAATGCTCAAGGAGCATGACAAAAGTGGAGGCTGAAGGGTCCTATGAGCCAGAAGACCAGGATACTTTCTGCAAGATTGTTTCTAGTAGACATTAACAGAGAAGTTTACCCATGAAACTCAACAATAAGATTTCTTTAATGAGACTTACATAATGACTAGAAAAAATTGGCAGGACAATGCTGATGGGAGAATTTCACAAGGTTATACCCTTATATGAGGAGTTATAGGGAATCAAGAGAGGGAGAATCTATTTCTTCTACATATAAGTCCCCTGACAGGGTATCCCAATCCAAGTGGTCAATCCTGAGCACATGTACATATGAGCAACAGTAAATGGATTCGTGTGTGTGTGTGTGTGTGTGTGTGTGTGTGTGTGTGTGTGTAGCTTTATGTAGCAATAATAAAAGAAAAAGGTCTTGAATTTGAGAGGTAGTTGGAAGCATGTGAGTATTTAGAAGGTAGAGATGTAGAGGTAGAAATGATGTAAATAAAATAGTCATGTATAAAATTTAAAAGAAACAAACAAACAAAACAAAAAAAAAACAAAAATAAAACCAGGTTGAGTGTGGTGGTATGTATCCATAGTCTAAGCTATTTGGAAGACTGAAGAAGACCAACTGAGGCCGAGAGTTTCAGATCAGCCTATGTATAACACAGTGAGTACTGTCTCAAGAAACAAAACCCTTGCTATGTGGAGGGCCTTGTCTAGTCCCATGCAGGCTCCACAGCTGTTGATCTAAATTTCATGAGTTCCCACTAGTTTGGTTTGGTTGTCTCTGTGGGTTTTTCCATCATGATCTTGATGACCTTGCTCATAGAATCCCTCTTCTCTCTCTACGACTCAACTCCTGGAGCTTGGCCTGGTGTTTAGCTGTGGATCTCTGTATCTGCTTCCATCAGTTACTGGAGAAAGGCTCTATGATGACAGTTAGGGTATTCACCAATCTGATTACTGGAGTAGGCCAGTTCAGGCACCCTCTCCACTATTGCTAGTAGTCTAAGCTGGGGTCATCCCTGGGGATTCCTGGGAACTTCCCTAGCACCCAATTTTCCCCTATCCCCATGATGTCTCCCTCTATCATGGTATCTCTTTCATTTCTCTTCCACTCCATCCCTGTTCCAGCTCAACCATCCAGCTCATCTGCCATTCTCTACCCTCCCAGGCCCCCTGCATAGTGAGACAGTTGTGTAGCATGATCTGCTTAAGGGGCTCCCTGACAGTAGGATCAGAATCCATCCCTGGTGCATTACCTATGATGGGACATCTTGCACAGCCTTGAGGCAGGGGGAGGGGCTTGGACCTGCTTCTACTAAATGTACCTCCTCATGGGAGGCCTTACCTTCTTGTATCAGGGAATGGGGATGGGTTGGGAGGGGGAGACTGGAGAGATGGGAGGAGGGAAGAGGGGGATCTTTGATTGGCATGTAAAATGAATAAAACATATTCTTAATGAAAAAAAGAGACAAAACCCAAACCAAACCGAAAAACCAACACTAAATATATTCAAATAATCATTATGAAATCTTCATGGGAGAAAACAAAACTGAAAACATATCAGAAATATAAACGTTTAGGGTGTTGACAAATAAATGTATCTTTCTCTTGAACTCATAAGAGGGTATTGGTTTCAATACTATGTAAGATGACTGTGTGGATTTTGTTTTCAGAAGAAAACACCTTGTAAAAAAAACAGAAAATGTTCACTGATCTCTCTCTTTTGTAAATGAACATAGTATACTGAATCTGGGCTAGGAAAGAGATGTACTGACAAGGAGATGGATTGAGATTGGCATCTGGGTCTTTGATAGTTTTTAACTTTTAAATATCAACTGAGTAATTAGTTGTCAGATGTTATTGGCAACTGCCTTTTTAAAAATTATTATCAAATATTTATTAGTCACATAAATGAGACAGAGCCCATCATTCACCAAATGGGTTACAAAAATAAAGCCAGAGAACTCAAAGATGGACATTTAGGAATGAGATAGCTCAGAAAACTTAAAAGTTGTCACTCAAAATTTGGGCCACATTTCTTCCTTAGGTCTCAGGAGATGTTTCATTTTCCTATGTAGCCTCACATTTCTAAAATGTACTTTTTTCAAGTTAAAAAAATTGTAGAACTTTATCAATAATGTCAGAAAGCATACACATTAAATTATTAAATTATAATCTCAATGTTTTGACTTTTTGTAATTAGTGAATATCTGTTAATTTTTTTTTCATTTTTTGGTGACGCTTAAGGTATCACCATGAAGTTTGCAAGTGGTAGGCAAATGCTTTACCTAAATTTAACTTACTTTTAATTTCAATTTTGTTATGGAAGTATCTAAATTATATTCTCAAAGTAAGCTACTTGAATCAAGCATGTAGACATTTTATAACACTGACCTCATCTACATGTTTTGCCAGTCAGTATTTTTCCAGACTGTTTCAACTATAGATTCTTAAGTATTTAAATGAAACATTAAGTTCCACAGTTTTTGAGATGGGGCCTTTATGTACACACTGGGCTGGCATCAAATTTATCATTTTCTTACCTTAGCCTACTGAGTGTTAAGATTAGAAGCATCATACATACAGCAGTACTTAAATTATTGTCCTAGGGATGTGGCTCTGAGGTTGAAAGCACTTTCTATGCAAGAGTATGGACCTGAGATTGAATCCCCAGAACCCACATATAATCCAAACACAGTAGTACCAGCATGTGTGATCTCCTGCCTTTTCTGCGTTGATGAGAGGCTGAGACAAGAGAGCCCCCTGGAAACTCCCAGGCCAGCTAGCCTTCATATGCCAGGAAAACTAAGATACCCCATCTTAAATAATGTGGAAAGAAAGGACCAGCACACGAGGCTGTCCTGACCTCCAAATGTGTGTATAACCCATGTGTACCCACTTTTACACTCATATACACACAAAGGTAAATAGAAAAAATAAAAATAAAATATTTAGGGTCTGATATGATGAAAACAAAAGCAGCTGAGCTGATATTCTATCTTCCATAAATTCTGACTCATTTGAGATTTTATTTCCTAATCTATGAAAGAGCACCTTGGAGGCTAAGACATTTCTCAATGGTAGGACACTTATCTAGGTTTGATCCCCAGAACTGAGAAAAAAGTGGGATAAAACAACTTCTTGAAGCTGACAGTAAATGTATCCTAATTATATAGCAAATTGTCTAGCTCCAGAGTCATTTGACAAGTATTAATTTCCTTCCTTTGTAGCCTTAAGAAAGCAGCAGCTAGGATAGTTGGTAAAAGTATTAAGAGATGTTGTAGTGTGGCTTTTCCCTCGGGGGACAACATAATCATCACATCTGTGGTTTTGGAGGAGTGATTGATTTGGACCGTTTGTTATGGTAAAAAAAAAAAAACACAAGAAAAAACAGTACGGAAATATCTAGGTCTATATAATGGCAATGGAGCTTTTGGCACTCCCTAGTTAGAAGGAGGTAGGGGAAGTCACATGATACTTACCTGGGATCTTGCCCTTACTCTTTAAAATCAACAAGTGATCAAGGGAGATACTAGGTTTTGCTTATTCATTTGTTTTCTTTGTTTTTTTGTTATTTGTTGTTGGTAGTGTGTGTGTGTGTGTGTGTGTGTGTGTGTGTGTGTGTGTGTGTGTGTACAGAAAGGTTTACAGAAAGTATGACTCAATGATACAGCTTAAGGACATTATTCATGATTGAGTGGGATTTTGTGGTGATACAGTTGTTTGGGGTTCACCTATACTCCGGTGAGAAACCCCTCAGCCATGTTCTTTAAGCAAACCCTTCAAAAACTCATTGGTTGACCAAGTTGGATTTGGATGGAACTGTTACATTCATCTGTCTGCTGTGCCCTATGTGGGGTGAAAAGGCATTTGTTCCCTCTCTCCTCAGGAAGAGTTAATGCAAGAGGGGGAATGGTAGCAGACTAGTACCAGGGATCCTGGGTGTGGGTTAAGAAGGACTGACATACCCTTTAACAGTTTCTGACTTTGAATAGCTCGTGTGCCCAAAATAATTTTTGTTCTCCCTTTGGGAATTC